ATGTGTCACGTTTCTAATGTAAATATTTATGTACCACCCCGATGTTACACATGACTTCGGAGTAATTTGTTACAATAACCTTATAAATCAGTCCCTTCTAATTAAAAACAAAATTTTTCTAACACAACCTTCCAAGTAGTTATAAGCGACTCTGTAGGGAACACTTTGGTACAACTGTTGCTGCTGAATTTGCTTTAGTCTGCAAACTGGTTCAGCGATAATCTTAAAATAAGCATGAAGAAAAGAAACGCTTCCAACCTGGCATAGAATAACCAATATTTAAGCTAGCCTTTTCTTTTAACTGTCGTTAAAAGTCCCAGTCTGGCTCCAAAAATTTTATGATGTTGAAAATTGCTTGCTATATGAAAAACGGAGATTTTTTTTTTTGAAGTGGACAATAATAATTTTATTTGTGTAATGTTTAAAAGACAATTGGTCCGCAATGTCCCGCAACTATATACAGTAGTAGTGATAACTAAATGAAATTTTAATTTGTGATCTGCATGACGAGTAGTGAAATTTGTCGATCATTAATATTTTCCCACATATAGTTGGCTCAGCCTAAAGACCTCCTAAGTTTTGCATAAATTTTAAAAGTATAGAAGTCACTTTCTGTCCTATCTTTTAAAAAAATAATGTTATTAGTTGATAGAATAGGTCTTTAGTTTTAATGTAATAATGAGATATTCTCAAAAAAATCATTTGTTGTAGAGTTCTATTCTTTTTTAGAACATGTACTTTACTATGTTCATGAGAAATTTGGCCGCTAGGATCATTACTAAATTTAGACCAAACTACAAAAATCATTTCTAAATTTAGACTAATACATGACCATCATATCTACATTTGGCAGTACGAAATAAATTTTTAAACCCAAAATCACATGAAGTCCTATTTTCAAAAATTTTTATTGCATTTTTGAACAAATTACAAAATTGCTATTTTTGTAATTTGGCCACGTGGCGCAGAAATAGGAGGTCTTTAGACCGAGCCAACCATAGAAATATAGGAGAATTCTGTGCAGGTCGTGTAACAAAAATATTGTTTATAGCTAAAAAAGTTGATTTTATCACTTTCAGTTTTTTCTTTTTTTTTTTTAAAAAAAAATTAATAAACGATTAATTATAAAAAAAAATCAATATGACTTATAATTATCAACAAGATGGTCAACAAGACGGTCAAATTCCAAATTCTGATCAAGTTATTCAGCCAATCAAAATATCAATCAACCAGCTCAAAATTCCGATCAACAACAAAATCTCAACCAACTCCAACAAATTCAAAACCTAGGTCAACAAAATTACAATCAGCATCAAGTTCAAAATCTAGCTCAACAAAGTTATCTTCAACAAAGTCAGCAACAACAAATTCAAAATTACGCTCAACACGCCCACCAACAAACTCAAAGTTATCGACAGTATAACCAAAACAGTGACAATGTGATGGTGACAACTTTACCTCGCCTAAATTTAAATATTTCTTCGCCCAATAATATTCATCATGGCATCAAAAGTGACAATGATCCTTTAATTTTAAGGATTTCTGATCGTTTGTTGATGATTAAAGATTGTATTATGACAATGAATCAACACTATGCTGAATTGGAGCAAGATTTTTGTAAGTTAAGACGTAGATATGATTAATTTATTTATCTATTCTTCGAGGTTAATTCTATTCTATCGAAATTATTGTAATGAAATTAAATTTTTTTATCATAGTTTTTATTATTTATTATTTATTTATTTTATTAATAATTTTGTTATGTTAAAATAATAAAATTTTATTTTCTATACATGAGGCAAACTGTTTTAATAACCGAGATAATTTTACAGTTGCTTTTTAATAATAAAACATCTGCTGCAGAGTCTAGTTTATTTATGCTTACATGCCTTTGTGCAAATAGACAACTATTAAGCATGTTTATAGACTAGATACGAATTTAGTGGCTAACTAGTAATTATTTCTTAATTGTAACTTAACTCAAAGTCTCAGTCTGATTTTATATTCTTTCCATTACAACAGAGTTTTGTCATTGCTTTAGGAGGAATTATATCTATGTGGTTCTAATTAATATACTTGTGTTCTGTAAAATTTTTATTAAAGCGATTTTCAAAGAAAATGTTATTTTGAAATACTACTTGTACTAACATGGCCCATACAGTGGAGCAGCGAAAATTTGGGTGGAAAAACATCACGTGTAAGTAATATTGACCAATAAAATTTAAAGAAAAATTAAAAATAGTTGTTTCTAATTTTTTTTTTATTAATGAAAATTTTATATTTATGAGAATTACTAATTTTTTAAGCCCTTGTAACTTGGTTAGAGGGTAGAAATCAAAA